GTTTCTCTGTTTGATGGGCCTGGTTCATTTTCACTTGAAACTGAATAGTCACTATCCATTATACAAAAAACCCGTATTATAAACTAAATTAGCGAATATAGTCAATATGCAGAATATCAGCGTATACAACCAACACACGTGGACTCTAAATATATATTATAGTCGTACAATACGCTATAATTATATTATATTATATTATGACTGCAACGGACGACAGAATATGTATTTTCATATCTTTCTAACAGTGTTGCCGACTTCTTAGTATTTCCGTGAGTAGGCTGATCTGCTGATCTGTGCTAAACACTGTGTATTTAATTAACCAGTGTTTCATTATTTAATTCTGGTGTTCATTCAAAATGTCTAAGAGGCCTAATGACTTTCTAATACTAGACAGGAGGATCTGGACGATAGTCAACTGACGCCATTGGCTCATTCTGGAAGCAGATACTCCCATGACAGTTTCTTTGTGAGGGAAGAATTCTGTAGATATTTTGATACGTATGGAAGCGTTCCTTTTGGAAACAAACCCGTGTGTCGCATTGATTCGCGACATGGACATTATATTTCTAATAATTCCCTTTGTTTTGTATTTAAATAAGGTTTTTCTAAGGTTGGATCAAGTTTTTTTTGCCGTAAAAGTAAAATGTAGTTCACAGTCTAAAATCCCTCAAACTCTTTTGGACATTTCTACTTATAGTAGGGGAGCCCACGATGCTAAATGGGGAGTCACTCAAAAAGATCTACCTTAACTTATATGTATATGATAGAGGTGCTCAAGAAGGGTACAAGGTATCCCCCATATGTTAATCTCCCCTACTATTAGGTTTCAAACTACCTATTTATATAAAAATAAATCTGTACAAGTTGAATACATACCGTCGGACAAATCGCAATCAGCAATGATAGTCCTCCAAGCTGCTTCTTTATTCTCATTATTTTTATACTCGTTCGAGTCTACCTTCCATTAACATGGATGTTTTCTTACACTTTCAATAAAATACTCCATTTCGTCTATTGTGAATTCCGAAGTGCAAGAACCAATAACAAAGTGGCAACATGGCGCCAAGCCGGCCGCCAGCAAGAGCGATTCGTGGTTCGTTGGGCATTTACAGGTGACGCAAGGGGAAGATACATATAACGCGATATAGGGCAGAATATCGCTCGGTAAGCATATCCCGACAGATACGTAATATATCACTGAGATATAAATATATCTTATAGCGTCCGTGCATGGCGGCTCAATACGTTTACACATGGAGCGATATTTATGTAATATGCAGGATATAATATATATTATTATATTATCGCTCACCGTCCGTTGCCAGCTTAATAGTAAACTAATGGCTGCTGCAATAACGAAGCGCCCAAGCGGTACGGCCGATGCAACGCCGCCTTTCCATATGGACTGATGCCCTTTTTCCATACACGCGCAAGGACTCATGCCATTCTTCTCCGGCACAGTGAATGTTATAGCTGTTGTTTTGTGAACCTAAGGCCTTTTTACAATTTAAGAAGCTGATTACAAGATAGCATCAGGGAAATGCCACCAAAACAAACTGAAAGCTCAATTTAGCCAAATAATGGACTAATGCCGTTTTCCCCCGGTACCCTTCAATTTCATCCTTAATAGGCCCCATACACCTGCGAACAAATTGCGCAACGGAGCCTGTTGTACCAACAATTGTGTAGTGTATGGGGTTGTTTGACGTGCTGCGCAACGGGTTGCAGAAATTCAAAATAGTTTGATTTTTATTGCACAACCAGCGGCGTTGCGCAACTAGTTGCAGAGTATATGGGCTATTCTGCAGACACGTTGTGCAATAACTGATTGTTTGTCCGAGTTCCACGTGCTTAGTTTTGAAAATGAGCGGTTGTTTTGGAAATAACAAAGAATTTTTAAGCGATTTTATTGATTTATATCGTCAGTTACCGGCAGTATGGAAGGTGAAGAGCGATCTCTACAAGAATAGAAATATGAAGAATTTGGCTTATGAAAAACTAGTTGAAAAACTTAAAGAAGTCGAACCTAATGCCGACAGAGAGATGGTGCGGAAGAAAATTAATGTTTTACGCAGTGCCTATCGGAGAGAATTAAAAAAAGTAATTGCAAGTTATAAATCAGGGACAGGAACTGAAAGTATTTACGAACCAAGCTTATGGTACTTCAAGGAATTAGATTTCTTGAGGGATCAAGAAACCCAAGTACCTGGAACCTCTACCATGAATGACCCATTTTATGAGATTGATAATGAAGACGCAGTAAGTAAACAATTTATATTTTAATTCTGTATTCATAGGAGTATCGGTAAAAAACTAGTTAACATTATTAATTTACAATTATTGCTGAAATATCTTGTTCTGCCATGGAACAGCTCCAACAGTATTAAAATAATTACAAAACTGTGCTCTTATTTTGTTTTGCTACAGTGGTAGTGTTTCTTCCTCGGAGTGCCTGTAGTTGTAATAATGTAGGGTCTGCTCTCCAATCAGCATTTGCAACCTCTCCACTATTTATGTTTTCAACATCTATGCCACCTTGACAATACGACTCTACTTTGTAATGTCGCAAGAAGTTGTGCAAGTGGCAGCATGTCAGTACTATGATGACAGCTTTTTCTGGACATAGGTTAATTTCATTTAACAGAATTCTGAAGCGAGAAGCTAGTATCCCGAACGCATTTTCAATGATTCGGCGGCTACGTGACACCCTGTAGTTATAAATCATTTCTTCGTTGCTGAGGGTTTTCTTGCTAAATGGTTTCATCAAATTTTCCATAAGTGGAAAAGCATCATCCCCTACAAAAACATAGGGCAATTTGATATTAGTCGATGTTAAATTTTCTGGTTCAGGAATGCACAGATCTTTTTCTACAAGTTTTTTACAGAATGCTGTATTGGAAAAAACCCCTCCATCAGAGACTCGTCCATTTGCTCCCACATCAACCATCAAAAATTCATAATTTGCATTTACGATTCCCATTAGAACAATGCTAAACGAATGTTTGTAATTAAAGTAATATGAACCAGTTCCAGGTGGCTTAAATATTTTCACATGTTTGCCGTCTATCGCCCCAAGACAATGAGGAAAATTCCACTTCCTCGCAAAAGCTTCAGCCTCATTTCTCCATTCATTTTCACTTTGTGGTAGCTGAAAAGAAAACATGGTGTTATTTTTATAATTGTATTTTTAGAAGTTTGCATGGTGTTATTTGTTGGTATTATTTTTATAATTATTTTTGTAATTTTAAATGTCTGCATGCTATATCTCTTTTATTTGTTGCAGGATTCTTCCCAAGACAGAAGTAGTCAAGGACCCAATACACCTCCAGGAAGGCATGCAGCTCCAGAATCGCCCACACCACCAGAAACAGATACAGCCGCAGATACATATACACTTTCAGAAATGGATGTACCGGTTACTCCTATACAACGTAGAGCTAACAAACGAAAAGGATCAACTGAATTTGAGGAATCACAAACACGGAATGAACTATTGAAGATGGCTTGCGAACATCTTCGCACTTCTAACAAGGAAGTGGAGATTTTGGCAAAAAGTTGGGCATTAGAGTTCATGAAGCTCTCATCAGATCAGCAAATTTATGCTAAAAAAGCCATAAATGATGTTTTATATGAAGGGCGCTTGGGAACTTTACATAGACATTCAGTTGTTATAAATGAACCCCCTGTACGTACCCCCCTTGAAATTTCATCCTGCCAATCATTCTCGTCACATTCAAATTCTGTCCCATCATTCCCGTCTCCAAACCCAGTACAGGTAACTGATGATACTACACAACTACAATATACGGTAATAGGAGAACTACTCACTGACCCACAATATAACTAAGGACATAGTAGTAGTATATAGTATGTTAATCTTAGTTTCTGGTTTATGTTAAAAAGAATAATAAAGTAATACATTTATTACCTTTAAATATTTCTTCAAAACCTTTATGATTGCTTCACAGGTCTCGATGATAATATGTCCAAGGGTTTGAGCAGCAATCGCAGTTTCAAATTTTAAACCCTCAAATGTTAGTCCAGATGCAAGATATCTTAGAGTAGCAAACAATCTCTGCTTGGGAGATATCGCCTCTCTCAATATTGTGTCTTTTTTTTGTATATATGGTGTTACCAGAGCCAATAATTCGCCGAAAGTAGTGGAATTCATTCGTAAATAATTTTTATAATCTAAAGGTGAACTCACTTGAAGTTCTTTAAGGAGATTTGCGTGACTAAAAAGAGATCTTTTCTTTAACCACTCTTTCATCCAAACTCTCTGCTTCCGTTTTCTTTTATTAACGCCAACATCACAGGCTGCAGCAATTATTATAGCTAGACAGGCTGCGTCATTAGACGGCATGTTGAGGTGCATGAGTACAACTCACAACTGAAGTTTGCATAAAATTGCATAGTAAATTGCATAGTGTGTGGATCACCTTGTTTGTACAACCACTTTTTGTGCAACATCCGTTTGCGCAATTTGTTCGCAGGTGTATGGGGCCTATTAAGGCGCGTATTCATCTGAGCACGAACGGGAACGAGGCATGGCGTATGTGCAGATGTGGACGTACATCCGAGGCGCGCCACGTTGCGTTCGGCCGTCCGTCGTATGGAGCGAGGCAGTTCGGGAGCCATCCGAAGGTAGTCGGTACATCAAAGACAAATTTTGCCTCGCGCGTTTAGATGTGGACAGTTTGTTTAGTCATCGTACGTTCGTGCCGCCCGCCGATTGGTAAAATATGAGTTGGGACACGGAAAAAACAATATCTTTCATTAAAGAGTATGAAAAGCGCCCGATATTGTGGAAAAAGAACGATAAACATTATTATAATATAATCAGAAAAGAAGATGCATGGAGAGAGATAGGTGAAATATGTAATGAATCCGTGGACGTCTTAAAAAAGAAAATTGATAGTCTTCGAGGTTCAAGAAGGAGGGAAAAAAATAGAATTGCTAAAAGCATGGGAACAGGTAAAGGTAAGTTGAAGCACCAATGTTTATAATATTTTTTCAATAGTAATAATTCTGATGAAACCAAAAGTATAATATTTTTTTTAATTTCAGGAAGAAACGAAATTTATGAGTCCAAATGGTTTGCATGGGATAGCCTAAAATTTCTAGATGACCCAGAAGAGCTACAAGAAACATTGTCCGTACGTATTAATAATTTGATATTTTTGATTTTCTTTTTAAGTGAGTCTGTTTTTTGTGTTTTTTTTTTGTTTGTTTAACTACATATACAGGGTGTCCCAGAAAAGATGGTCAAGCCGTCCACTGGACATTTTTGGAGACAACATAAGATGCAAAGATTACACATAAACTCTGTGGCACAGTTTCTGTTTTAAATAGGAGATAATACATACATAAAACAATTATATACTAGTTGCATAAACGAATTTATTGGAAAAAAAATTTTACAATATTTTAGGCGTAATCATTTTGCCAAGGAACAGAACCATGTGAGCAGAAATAATCAGTAAACTCTGCTCGTATATTTTGTGCGGGAATACTTGATTTACGTGGAACATTTTCCAATGGAGCTAAAGAAGATTTGTCACCGTTGCCTTCTCGCCACGAGCCAGGAATGATTTTTCCATTTTTTTCTTTGTCAAAAGTTCCATCCGGTGTATAGATATTTCTTGACGAATGGTTTTTACGCAAGAAATTGTGTAAACAAATGGTTGCCATGACTACTACTTTTGCCGTCTCTGGCTCCAGCAACATTGGCTTTCTCAAGACTCGAAAAACAGCAGAAATAATTCCAAAAGCATTTTCAACTATTCGACGAGCCCTACTCAGTCGATAATTGAAAATCCGTTCTTTAGAACCTTTGCGATGACGACCGGAGTATGGTTTCATTATATTTTCTGTTAGTGCAAACGCCTCGTCGGCAACAAATACGTACGGCATTTCTTTGTTCCTGCCAGGTAGAGGTGAGCACCCTGGAAATTTCAAAATGTTTTTTTCCATATCTTTGTACAACTGGCAGTTTTTGAATACACCTCCGTCAGAAACACCACCCTGGCAACCAACGTCCACAAAAATAAAATTGTAGTCACCATCAACAAGAGCCAATTAATACAATACTAAAATTTGATTTGTAATTATAATAAATGCTACCGCTATTGATAGGACATTGCAGCGGTATATGTTTCCCATCAAGGGCTCCTAAGCAATGTGGAAAATTCCACGTTTCGTTGAACTTTTCTGCTATTTTTAACCATTCATCTGTTGTAGAAGGTACCTAAAAAATAAAAAAATATATTTTTTCAGAATCATCCTGCTTCATCCGACATCATAGAAGTTGATGAAGAAACTACTGACAATACAGACCGAATTGTTGAGGACCAAAATCCTATTTCTTCGCAAAAAAAATTTTTGTCACCACATAAAAATGCTCCGAAAAGAAAAAAAAACGAGGACCCTCGTATACAAGAGGCCTACGATATTTTAAAAAGCAGAACAGCCACTCAGAGTAAAGATGAATGCTCAATGTTTGCTGACTTTATCGCACAAAAAATGCGAAAGTTTAGCCCTCATACGAGAGCTGTTTTGCAACATCAAATACATAATCTTATTTTCCAAGCTGAACTGGACTCTTTACCAATTTCCCCTCAGGTGTTATCACCATCCCAACAAACATTTCAACCTTCAACATCTATTTGTCAAAACTTTCGTACTTATAATTCACTACCGTCTCCTTCTTCGTCAATATCATCAGTAGGACCTCCATCTTGTACTCCATCACCACTTCAATGTCCTCAAAGTAATATACAACAATATAATGATCATGCACCACAACAATCATCCAGTGAGCACTCGAGCACCCATAGCCAGGAAGTGCCACCCGACCACCAGGAGATTACGTCCGAGAATTCACTCATCTTTCAAGCCAATTCAAGCCAACAAACTGCTAACCAGCTAACTACAGCTACCTACTTCTCGAAATATGATGAAATATGATACGTGAAATGTTAGTTAAGATTGAATTAAACATACCTTTACGTGTTGACTCAATGTATTTATTATTTCTTTGCATACTTCCGGGACAAATTTTGAAATAACTTGTTTTGATACGTTGAATAAATATTGTAGACTACTAAACGAGTCACCAGTTGCCAAGTATCTTAATGTTATGGCCAATCTTTCCTCAGCAGTGATGGCTTTTCGAAAATGTGTGTCACTTCTCGTAATTTTGTCACGAATTGATTCCAATAAATAAAAAAAGTCGTCGGATGACATTCTGGTAAAATTTCGAAAATGTGCTCCGTCCTCCTGCATCAAATCATTTAAGAATAATTTTCCACGTGTAACCAACCTATTACGATATATTTTAGTAGTCCACCAGCGCTTTTTCTTCTTTCTTTTGGATAGACCGGCTATCACAATAAATGCTGCAGTACTGATTACTAGAACGTCGTCATCAGCCATACTATTTTTGCGAAATTATTGTTAGTTAGTTTAGAGCGTAGTGCGCACTGATCACATATTTCCATCTATTCGGGTGTGCGGCGGATAGCTACTTTGTTCGCTGCCTCGGCGAACCGTTCGCGACTTCAAATTTGAACAACCGAGGCATGCGGCAAGCGTCCGTTCGGCCTCGCCTTGCCTCGTTCCCGTTCGTGCTCAGATGAATACGCACCTTTAGTTTAACCGACAGAGAAATTTGAAAGAAGAAATATATGTTGATATAGGTCAACCCTTATTTTAGAAACCAGTAAATAGATATACCAAAAATGCTAATTACAAAAGTTTTTTTGGTTTGAGTCAATGTTTCGTTTTATTTTGTATTACAGTTTGTTACGTTTTGCCAGAGTGAGCATCATCTTCATCTTCATTTTTTAAATAGCACTCCCTCTACAGGGTGTCCAAGATAAAGATCCTATGCATGTGGGAGGTACAGCTTAGATTAAATGAGGAAAAAGCCACTTTCTTTGGTGCATATTTACAAACCGTTGAGAAGCATGTAATTTGATGGCTTACTGAGATATTTGGGAAAAACTAAACTTTGGCCGAATCATTTTTATTTTTTCTGACTTTATTTTAAGAAATATCGAAAAAACTAATTAAACTTTTCCAATGCCACTTTTTAGGCACTACGTGGTGGTGTTTTTAAATTTTATGTCCGACGGTTCGCTTTTGAGAAACCATCTTCAACTTTATTTTTATATATGGTCCGAAAAAAGTACACTGTGTATCTAATAGTATTTTTTATACGAATTCAATATGACATGTTACATTTAGTTTTTTTTCAGATTTTCTTTAAGTAGGTTGCAACGCCTGCTTGACTTGATGCCAGGAGGTCATTTTAGCAATGAAGAAAAGCTCGACATGCTGACGTGCCACATTTTGTGCTATAAAAATACTAAAGATACTGCAGAAACGTATCTTGATAAATTTAGCGAAAGAAGGCAGCCAAGTAAGTCCATTTTCTTAATGTTGGCACGAAATTTAAATGAATATGGTTCATTCAAAAAGCCTGTTTCTCTTGAAAAAAGGAATCTTTAGAGAAAACTCAGAATAGTATTTTACAGCCTGTTGCTGATAACTCTGACATATCAACTAGACAAATTGAGAAAAATGTAGGAGTATCCAAATCCAGAACCCACTTTATTTTGCGTAGAAATATACTAAGTGACATATGAAATGTATCACCCAGAAATAGTTATTGAATATTGATAAAAACTTGTAAACATATTGTAAGTACTACCTCTGACCCCACAGAATCGTCGGTAACTATTGGTATGGAGTATAGCGAGAGACTTGAATGGAATATGGAATAGAACTCAGTCGTGTTCAGCGATAAGTAAAGATTCTGTTTGGACACACATGATAGCCGTGCAACAGTAAGGAGCAGACGTGGTGAAAAACGGAACGTCCAATATTTCACCGAACGGCATATTCATCGCACTGTGGGTATTATGGTATGGGGTGCCATTGCTTACGGCAGCAAGTCACGATTAGTGTTCATTCGAGGTAGCAGTCATGCCCAGCGCTACATCCACGAAGTTTTAGAACCACATCTGCTTCCCTTTTTAGAAACATTGCAAGATCCACTTTTTCAGCAGGACAATGCACGACCTCATGTCGCACGTGTTAGTTTAGACTTTTTAGAAGCGTCCGGAGTAAATCTGCTTCAGTGGCCTCCTCGATATCCAGACCTTTCCCCCATCGAACATGTATGGGACATGATGGGAAGAAGGTTGCAAAATTCACCGCACCCTCCACAAACATTGGAGACTACGAAACCAAATTCAGATAATAATAATAATAATAATAATAATAATAATAATAGCTTTATTGTCCAACAGTTTCCCATTTATAGGACAATTTATAAACATAATACAAAAGCAAAAAAAAGCGAAAAGAAAACAACAAATGCAACACAGGTATAAATTTGTAACACGAGCTATTGGTCCGAATAAGCCTTAGCTGCCTTTAGCAGGTAATTAACATTTGTCGTAAATATATCACAGTAACATCCAATTCTGTTTAAGTTAGAGCACATTACATATAACAGTGACTTGAGAAGAATGTTTGTCCTAGCTCTAGGATGCCCGAATATTTTATGATTGCGAGATGCAAACGTTGGAGTACGAAACTTGATCTGTTCCAGGATCATGGGACAATCAATTAAATTGTTGATCATTTTGTAGCCAAATATAATTGAGGCACAGTACCTACATTTTTTCATAGTCAACATGTCTAAGCGACTACATAGTTCCTCATTACTTGTACCTCTCTCTGTCCCATCAATCCTAAACAGAACAAACTTCATAAACTTCCGTTGTACTCTTTCAATAGATGGCCTGGGATACAATACCCCAAGAAGACATCAACCACCTAATCCAATCAATGCCGCGAATGTGTAGCGAACAGATGAGCTTCAACACATTATTAACATTAAGGTGAGATATCTCAGCTATTTTGCGAAATTTCGAGTTAAAATTTTAATCTGTTTATCAGTAGACCTAAAACTTGTGAAAGTATGCTCAAAATTACAGCACTCCTAGTCGGTGTTGCATTTTCTATTTTATTTAGTACAGATATTACCCCTATGAATTCAGGACTTAGGACTTAGACCAGGGGATAGCGAAAGGCACGAGCATTTTTGCGAGTGGTAGACACGGACATGTGAAGATTTGAAATTCCCTTCAAAAATAATATGGTCCGACGAGAGTATGGTCACTAATAATGGTATATCTAATCGCCGCAACAGTCATGACTGGGCTCAAGAAACTCTGCGGGCTAAAAAAGTATCCAGACATCAATAACGTTTTTGGTTTAATATGTGGTATAGAATTCTAGGGATCCAAATATTTATTTGCCACAATTCATTAACCGCAGAGCGGTATCTTCAATGGTAGCAACATCATCTAGAAGATCAAATGATCCTGTACACAACCCTAGGCAAGTTTGAGAGTATCTTTCTGAACGATTTTCCGAAAAGTGGATTGGAACCTCCAGTAAAGTGTCCTGACCAGCGCGTTCGCTGGACTTAACTCCTCTGGACTTTTTTGCTGGGGTTTTAATAAAAACCAAGTTTATCAGCATACCTTTAGGACTAAGCAGCAGTTACGAGAATGTGTCATGGAAGCATTTAGTATGATTAAACCAGACATGTTACGTAATTTTACTGTTAGAAGACCTGTTTGAACACCTATTGTGAATAGATTAAACATATAGTGCCTAAAAAGTGCCAATGAAAAAGTTCCATTAGTTTCTTGATATTTCTTAAAATAAAGTCAGAAAAATGTAAAAAGGATTTGGCCAAATTTTAGTTTTTCCCAAATACCTCAGTGAGCCATAAAATATATCACAATATTCAACTTATACCTACAGCAAAGGTTAAATAGGGAAAGTTTCAGAGGAAACTTAGTGCTTTCAATCGCCGGCTTCAGATTTACGATCAGTCAATTGCTTTTGAAAATATCAGCGAAAAACCTAAAATGGCTCTAGGTACCTCTGTCCGTTTAGGTTGTAGTCAAACAAAAATGGTCCGATAAGTCGATTTTCTGAAATGATTAATACCTAATTTCAAATAAGGTGACGAATTAAAAAAGGTAAGTTAGATTAAATTACCAATTACCCCACACCAAACCTTAGTTCCAAATCTGGTCTGTAGACCTCTCTGCCACTTCGTGAGGGTTTTCCACAGCCCAATGATGAGTGTTGTGCTTACTAAAAACTCCACAATTCGTAAACCTACCCTCATCGAACCGCAAGACATGATTTACAAAACGTGATTTTCATTAGACGTCCTAGTATACCACTCACAGAAGCGCATTGACCTTTAACTATTGTAGGTTTGTATGAATGGTACTTTTATTTAATACTCTCTGTACTGTTGATTTTGACACACCAATTTCTCGTTCTAAAGTTCTTACTGATTCACTATTGATTTCATTAACAGCTTGTAAAATGTTTCTGTTGTGATTTTCATTGTCAATATTGTATCCGCTTCTAGGTTGTTTATTGAATTAATTGCTATTTTTCTAAATTGGGTTTTATGAGTCTGCCGTCGTTCGGGCTATATCTCCAAGTACCTTGCTGAGGTTATGTCGGCCTTACTGCCTGACTGCAAGTACAGCGCTAACATGTCAAACTTTTCTTCATTTGAGTAGGGAATACCGGCCATTTTCAACAGGTTTTGATAATTTTTTGTCAGATTTATGATTTAATGAGAGAAAACGTACGTACCACTTATTAAAACACAATTTTAATACTTTGAGTTATTTAACGCCAGATGGAAAAAATGCGTTACTTATTAATTTTATTCTATGCCAAATAAATCATGGCCTCCTTAGAAAGAAATTAATACATAAGATTACCTGTGATTATAGTTCGGCGATACTCCAATCTTGTATGCACTTGTGAGACATCACTAGGCTGGAAATTTTACGTTCTTTCCAAAAATCGAAAAATCTCATATGGCGGCCATGAGGAAAATGAAAGTTGTGGCAGGTTGCGGGAAAACAAAAGACGATTGAGGCATGTCAAAAACATCTTATTTGCCTTAAAAAATGTCCGAATAATAAACTGCTGTCTTGATTCGGGTCTAAAGGCCGTCGTCGGTTGGAATTTCTTCCTAACGTTTCGCTAGCACGAGTGGCTTCTTCAGAGGTTCTTCCATTTCCGACGCTGGATGTAGATCACTTATTCGAATTTTTGGTTTTTGTTGCATTTTTGGAGTTTAGCTGCAGTGTAAACCAGTAGAAGTAGGTATTTAATAGAAATCAAAGTACGTTCAGGACATTTTTATAGAGATTGATATGTTATTCTGAATGTCATATAAATATTTCAGACATTGATATAAGCTGCAACTAAACCCTAGGATAGTCAAGGCTCACGCTGTACACAAAATATGTTAAATTACTATTGAAAAAATAAAAAATGATTAAAAGAAATACAAACACAGAATCTTTTGAATTAGCCTAACGTTTTAAAAAGGTAGTAGTAACATCTCTCAAATAATCGGTCTTATCAATTCGTCAAAATTTGTATAGCCTATAGCCACGTCCTCATATAGTCCTTAACAAACTCGAAAACGAGAACAAATCACTCACAAATACTCAAACACGAGAAAGCCATGCCTCGCGGATACAATTGACCTGGTAAGACCATGTGTTCACTAAAAAATCCAGAAAAGATCGTGTAAAAGGGAAAAACTGTTGACAGTAATTACAGTTTCGGACACCAGTCAATAATGACTTTCCGGGATTCCAAGTTCCAGGAATCCCAAATCAAGTCTATTAGGCAAGGACGCATAGACATAATTTACTAGTAACATATTTCCTTCTTTGTAATAATAGATTGGTGTTAAAACAATAATGTCCTTCTCTACTGGGGTATGTATAGAAATTTTTCACTACTATGATTTGGTTTGATTGATCTTCAGACCGTAACAAATTTGATTATTTCTCTAACGCCCGGCAACACTGTCAGATAAAGCCGACGCCATGTCTGCACCACAGATTGGTGCGGTCGAGAGAGACACTGCCGTTTCATGATAGAGCCCGCTAAAGATACAACATGCCACCTACGTCGATGATGGGCGCTCATATAGCAAAATTCAAGAGAAGCACATTGGTGGTCCCAGATTGATGTTCATAATTAAATGCTCTTCAATTTAATAAAAAACATCAAGTTTAAAATTCCTGTTTCGGTGTTGCATTGTCTATGTCATTTAGAGTAAAAACTAACCCTGCATGTCTAATTTGTTGCATCAGTTACGTCGCTGGATAGCTTGAGCATTTTTGAAGATTTTTTTTCAAAAAGGCTTTAACTTTTGGCTACTATTTAATATAAATGCGCTTTTCGGCAAAAACTAAACGATTTTTTTTGTAATAACCAATTAGCGGTTGCACCGAACTGGGCATATCCATTTTGAAGGCGTTTTCATCCCTTTTCCAATTCTTCTATAGACTTATAAGTTTGAGGTTTGATTGAAAAAAGTTACCCATTTTTTTATTTCGGGATGAGGGGCCTTTGCATTCACTCTTAAGAATATATAAATAATTCTGTATAATTTCTTTTACAACATTCTTCACATTTGTCTTGCTTAAATGTTTCAAAACAGTAAAGTAGTTTTCCATTTCCAAATGAATTATTAAATCGTCGTAGAAGATTCTATATGAATGATATAGAAATAGAAAGAAAAGTATCAAGCATAGTTATATAGATATTAGTTGTGGAACTTCCACCAAAAAATTTGTTGAAGGTGCCCCCTTTCAGTTCTGAGCTGGGTACGCCCTTGTCCTATCTGTACAAAATTAGCAAGATTACCGTCCAAAGTTTGTGAGTTACAAAGCTCGTATTAAAGTTGAGTTTGAGATCATCCAAGTATCGTAAATTAGGCCTATTACATATTTTTTAAGTTCATTCACATTTGTCTTACGCCGAGAGTGTAACGTATGAGCGCCTTCGCGTCATGTTCTGGTGCACAACAATTCCAGCGCTACGCCACGACAGTAAATTAAAAGAAAATACAGGGGATAACGATGTTAAGCATCCCACAAACCGGCGCGAAATAATCGCGGCGAAGTATTCGCAACGAAATTCAGAGTGAAATTCGCAATCTGTTTCGCCTGTTTATTCATACCAAAGCGTCTTATTCGCTCCGCGAACGTGAAGGTTTCGACAGGTTGCGTACATTTTATTTTTGCCTTTTGCAATGAGCTCGTCTTCAGAAGAAGATGAGGCACTTCTATTTCTTGCTTTAGAAGAGGAACAAAATGCACGGTAAGCTATGTTTATTTAACGCCATTTGATAGTTGGGTATGTATTAAGTTTAACGAAGTACATAAAACAAATATTTTCAATTTTGTTTAGGAAACGAAGGAAGTGGGTACATGATATTAACTTGGAACGAAATAAATTTGGGGAATACCATACCTTGATGCCACAACTTCGGCTGGATGAACAGCGCTTTTACGTATATTTTAGAATGACTCCAGAGTGTTTCGATGAAATATTGAACTTGGTGAAAGATGAAATACGAAAATCTGACACAAATTATCGTGAAGCCATTTCGCCAGAAGAACGACTTGCTATTACACTCAGGTAAAAAAATTATATGTATTAAAATTAGTAGGCTTATCGAATACGAAAACTTCAGGGATCGTGAAATAAGTATTTTATTGTAATAATTGGACTACATGTTGCCACTAGGATTAAATGTTGCTAAATAATTCGAGGCAGAATTTGCCTCCTCTGTTGGGTATATTATTGGAGTAAACCCAGTGTCGCTTGGGAAGGACGACATACTACTATCATACATACTTGCAGAATTCTGGGTAGACGCTGAAGACATTTCTTCAATATGTTCAAATTCTTCGTGCGCTATTAATTCGGCTATTTTTAGTTTTATTCGGGCTTGACGCTTTAAGGGAAGTGTTTTCACAGTCTGTGCATGTGCCAAGAAAAGTGAATCAATGGCCTCGTTCTTTTTTTTAGGTTTTTTACCTTCAAAATAATTAATGAGCTGTTGTACAGACGAAGATGGTGGTTCAGAGCGTTTTCTGCTCGTTTTATATTTTGGTGTAGTTGCAGTCTGCGGAAAGGTGTGCCCTGGAGTAGTCACTGCTGTAGTGTTCAATGAAGAAGGTGGTGCTGTCTGTGTTGCCGAGGCGTTCTGTGCATCTTCTGCATCTACATCAGCATTTTCATCTTCTCCATGGCCGCGGTCTTCCAAATTTTCGGTTTCTACATTTCCAGCACTTTCCTGATATATATTTGAGTTAAATTCGACAGTCTCATAATGTATGACGTCAATATCTTTCACATTAGACGACGTTTTGGCAAATGCCAAAAAGGACGGAAAAATTCCATGTAGTGCCCACTGCCATTTCTTTATGTTGCCCACTGCTTGGCCGGTCTTTGGTTTGGTAGATTTTATATATTTTACAAATGTGTCTCTGATATTCTTCCACCTTTTTTTTACTTCATCACCTAAAAACGATTTTTTTATAGATTCCTTGCCACTGGTGACACCTTCTATACCATTGGGCATAGCTTTCGAGTTGGCTTTACAACAGTGAGTGCAATCGTAACCGAAGTATGTGAAGCGATATGCAGACATATGGAACATATATATTTACCAGAACCAACAGAGAATATATGGAAAAAATGTGCTGTGGCAGCGTGGACGGTAAACATGTAACAATCAAGAGACCTAACAACAGTGGCTCCAATTACTGGTGCTATTTACATAAATATTCAATAGTACTTATGGCCATTGTTGGCCCGGACTATAAATTTATATGTGTTGATATTGGTGGTTTCGGAAAAAATAATGATGGGGGTATTTTCGAAACCTCAAACATGGGAAAACGATTTGAACAAAATTTAATGAGTGTCCCTGCACCTAGATTTCTCCCTGGGCAAAATGAAATCTGCTCGTACGTCTTAATTGGTGATGAAGCATTTGCTTTGAAACCGTACCTTATGAGACCATTTCCTTATAAGCAGACTTTAACAGACGTCAGAAAAGAGAAATACAATGTAAGACTTTGTCGAGCTAGAAGGGTCGTGGAAAATGCGTTTGGTATTTTGTCTCAAAAATGGCGAATATTTTACAGGCCATTAGAAACTAAAGTAGATACTACTATTCTAGTTGTACGTACGGCATGTTTTATACAAATTTTTACGAAGTAAAAGTGGCGATGACAAATATTTTCAATTCTTAGATCCGCCAGAACCCGTGCTTGGAGCTTTTACTGATATAGCAAATGATCCTCGGCGGGCAGCAAGGCTAGCATTTTCTACTCGTGCCAAATTCGTAAATTATTTTAATTCTGATATGCCTATGCCCAATATATAAAATGTTCGTTTTCACATTTGTGTAGACTGCAAATTATTTAACAAGTTAATAAAAAATATTAGGTACATACCATTTGTATTTAATTCTTTTCCTATTTCCATCCAAATCTTATCTTTCTTTCTCACATTCCTGTATTCATTGTTCGACAAATCATACAATCAAGGATACTTTTTCACTATTTCTATCAATAATTCCGTTTTTGCCATTGCGAATTTTTGAAGAACGGCGTCAAAAACGCGGTCAAAGGCGAACTGAAATACGCCGCGATAAAAACGCTGGAACAATCGCATTCGCTTCGCACAAGTCTGAGCCTGCCCGTAAACCGCCACGTTTTAATCTGATCGCGAATTCATCGCCGCGAAATTTTCGCAGCCAAAGCGAATATTTCGCGCCGGTTTGTGGGATGCTTTATAGTTAGATATCCTTTTCATACAGTGTCGAAATCACGAAAGATGACGATTACGTCATCATTTTAGTCTGTAGCAAAGACAAACGACAGCGATTTCTGAATATATTTAATGAAGTTTCTGCTATGTTACACAGAGACAAACAGAATTTTATTGTCTAAACAAACTGTATTGCTAATTTGCATGTATCCGACAAAGATAGACGATGTTTTCATGTTGCATGATCGATCATATTCGTAAGATGAATAGTTCGGTTATGTTAAAGCAGGTTATGTTGTTTTCGAATAATACTTTGGTCTTTGGTGTTCCTGTCTTAAGGTATTCTACTCATAACTGTTTTTTCAAAACAAAAACTCGCCACTAAAATTATTATTAAGGTATCACTCAAAACCATGAAATAAAATGAAAATAATCAGTAAAACTTCGCAAAATCATAATATAAATTTGTTGTCATTATGTTCCTGACATCGTGATTTTATCATAGACGTACGTCCATTGATTACTTCAGTACAATTTAGGGTATGACGTAATAGTCATCTTTCGTGACTTTGACTATAGAAGGTGATTCGGTCATTACAAGAACCAACTGAGTTACATTTTTTCGAAATACTTTTTTCTCCGTAATAGGCAGAATCCACGTAAGTTAGTACATTCTTTCTCCTTTAAAAAAATACTGCGTAATACACGGTAATAAAAAAAACAAAATTAGTCAGAAGTGACTTTGCTGTTTTTGCATGCTCTATTTGACAGCTGATTATTGAATGGATACTTTCAATAACAAGTACCAGGATCCTTCATTTTATTCTCTTTTCATATTTATGTTTTATGTACCAAAATACTAATTTGAAATTCACAAACCACAAAGATAAAGTTACGTGCGAATACAGCATCCAATCGATGGAGATGGGATAAAGTTAAGAGCAGAAGAATGCAAAATCATCTCAGTACGTCCCTTAACAGCGTATTTAGGTTTTTTGAGATTGTTCTTAATTTTTTGTTCATCACGAGAGTATGAAAAGTTTTTTTAAGGGGTTCAAAAATGCTGAAAACAGGCATTAATAACTCTGTGATCCCAGGAACGGATAGTTTTTCCTTTGTTTTTTCTTTATTGTTTAATGTATAGATATGCTCCACGAGATAGCAAGCAGTCAACAGAAAGCCCGTCAAACACTGGAAAAAAGACAACCTTAATACCAGCTTCTAAAGTCGCAATCACCTCCAGCTGTAATAGGTAACAAAGTTAGTTTCTGGGCTCATCCGTTTCATTTTCCTACAGTTTGAAGTATTTCAATGGTAGGGTGAGTGTGACAGTAGTCGGACAAATATTGTATTATTGGTAAGAACTTGAATATTTGAAATTCTAAACTTGCGGGTAATTGGTAGCAGATTTATCAACTAATTTGTGCCAGTTTACAAAAATTTCACATCAACTGTTATCTTATTGACGGGTCAAAAACGGCCCGTAATCTACAGTGAATATAAACACTGTTGGACCTCTTTAAAAATAAAGTGAAATTGGAAAAATTCTTGTCGCTCCTAATAGATTCAAGCCTCGCAATTTATTTTTTATTGGATTTTTATACCTCTTTTGCTTAAATAAATGCCCTGTTTCTATTCACCTGGCAGTCGGGGTGAAAAGAAACACCCCTCTCTTGTTCACGTTGTAGGCCATTATACCACTCCAAAAGTGAATAGAAACAGTTTTTTTTTAGTATGTTTCATGATGTTAATGAATTTTTGGGTAATGAAAACCACTAAGTATTAAAAATATTTTATTTTTATAAACTTTTATCAAAAATAAACAAATATATCCTTAGAGAAACTTCACTATAGCTGCCTCTACATGATTAGTCAAAACAGGTTGTCATCCTTGCTTCTTTAGGCTTAGGTCGCACTACGGCTAAACCGCCGCGGATTTTAACCGCCTGATTTTGTGAGTAAAGTAAACAATGGAAGCGGCCGCACTTACGGTTTTTTCCCGCGACTGATTTTAAAACCGCGACTTGGTACAGAATGGCTATCGGGAAGAAACCGCGCCAAAATTTGTAGTTCATAGGACTTATATCGGCGCGCACACATTTGACGTGGTAACCGCGCTCGGTACTGTCATTCTTCGGAGCACCGTCATGAAGAACGTTATATGCATAAGTCATCATGGGCATTACCAATATTATGTACGTCCACTGCATCATGGAAGTGCTTAATCCCCATGTTTTACCATGAGAGCGTTTGATCTGCAGGTTCCAGATTAGTTTGGAGTCTAGTAGGGTATTTGACTTTCCCCGACAGTTGTAACCGTTTTTCCAGAAGGTATAGAGGTCCTAAACCCTCTGATTTCTTCCTTCTGTTGAAAGCAACTATGTTAAGACATAGGGACTTCCTCGCTCTGGAGGCTATTTTTCTTTTTTCCAATGTCATACTTAGTTAATTAACCACAGAAGTTATGTAACAAGCTATATGATCCCCTCTCTCAAAAAAGGCGTAGGAGTTCATAGAAAGGCCTGAACGAACTGTTGATGAGCTCCATTCTCTGTCCGGAGTTCAATGCAAATCAAAGATACTTAAATTCCGTAGATGATTCCTGGACTTTACTCTAGACGGTCCACTTACCAACTACCGGCTTATCGAAGAGATGCGCAGTGGTACTGACTTTGAGTGGTCGACATGGAGAACACTGAAATGTATGTAACAGGAATAAATAGTACCGTTGGCGCCATCTGTTAGGGACTAGCTGCTTCATGGCCGATCTCTGTTGGGGGCCGTGCCAGTCTGCTTCCATGGCGACATCTGATGAGCGTCGTGCCAGTGACTTGCCTTCTAGATCGACGCGAAGTGACCTCGACGATTTTGGAAGGCAGCTATGTGCCTCACGTTATTCTTCTCGACCCAACGATGCGGATTATATAACTCGACGCCCGGAAGAGGGAAGTAGAGTAGAGCAGAGTGGAGTATAGTTCAGTCAATGTGCGACATAAGAATTAGTCAGACATAAATAGTGGTGTACAGAAGTGTTCTATCTAGTCAAGATAAATAAATTAGTGCATTTCTTTTAGTGGAATCCAGTGTTTTAATCCACAGCCAAAAGAACCCAGAAAAACGCTACATGTATTAGAACAGACATAGCGCCAGTAAAAGTTAACCAAATATTAAGAATAAACAATTAATTGAAAATGGAGGGTAAGGGTAGGTGGTTGCTAGACGCGTGTAATCTGAACGAAAATATAAGTTCATTCATAGGAGGCGGATCCAGTGGGACATTTTGAGGTGATGGGACTTCTGGGAGCGAATGTTCTTGTGATCGTGTGACGACGGAAAAACGGGGGGGGGGGGTAATCTACTGAAAATTTAAGAACGGGAGGACAAGAATTTTCTGCGTATTTAGCTTTCTCGGTAAATGTACATCTAGCAACACAGTGTCAAAAGTGTTAGGATGGGATGTCGTTGATATAAACGCCATTGTGCTTAAAGCACAGAACTACTGCTGGTCCTCTTTTCCGTTCCGATAGCAGTTGAAAAATTTCTCAGGATGTTTTCTTAAATCTTGATACTTTTTATGAAATAGACCTTTCTTAAATCTTCGGCTAGTCAGTGGATGGACCCAATATTTGCGAAATTTTTGATGACGTTTTGCTTTTCTGCTTCTCAGTATTAGAGCAACAACACATACAGCTCTCTTGAAATCCATCTTCAAACTATGAAAATCGTGTCCAGTAACGCGATTTTTAACCGTAGTGTGTGCGTCTCGGGCGGTTTTGCGATTTGGGGTTTACCGCTTGCGCAAAAAAACCGTAGTGCGGCCTAAGCCTTAAGCTTGGGTTCTTGTAGTGTCCATAAAGCACCGAATAGTTGATTTCATGTTTAAGGCTCGCTTGTCTAAATGACATTCCATTACGAATGCCATGTAAAG